GTTAGCAAATGTTTAGCTCATGTTTGTGAGAGAGCTTTGCTCATCTACTTGGTAGTCTTCTCTACGGAGATTCGAGCCTCCACCGGAGAAGATCCCCCAAGCGGATTCAAGACCCCTTTTAGGGAAGAACCCAAGACCTCACGGAGAAGACCGGCTACCCTTGTATCGTCCCTAGTTGTCCGTGGATCGTGTATCTTTCCTTATGTACTCGAGGATCTAGCCCATGTGTGACTTATTCGTGTCGGTTTAGTGATTCCTCTCGTGTTTCTTATTGTGTTTTCTCTCCGTTCTTCCCCGTGTTCTTCGTAATTTCCGCGGGATCCGGTCCTTTCATGAAAGATCGGGCGATTAGGGTCTCAACCCTACATCAACTTCTTTGTCCATTCTCCAACTCAGAACCCACAATTTCAGACTACTCCGCAACAAAACCAACACTCCCATCGCATGCCTACCACCACATCTACAGCCAAACAACAGCAATCTCAATTACCAGCAACCTTACGTACCTCAAAACTACTATCCAGTAGCACATATTCCTCAAAACACACCAGTATATCACCCACAAGATCCACCCCACCTCTATTGTTACTATCCACAAATTCCTCAGCTACAACATCAATAGCAGCATACCACCAGCCAATCCTCCACCCCCACCCCCTCAACACCATAACCTCCAATTGAGCCCCTTATTTGATCACCCTCTAGAAATTCCCATTTACAATGGAGATGACATAATCACTAGGATCCAGCAATGTGAAAAAAAAATTGGGCTATCAGGCATCCAACAAGATCAGTGAGTAAAATGGTCAGTGCACACATTAGAGAAAGAGCTCAAATATGGTCGGCAGAGGACAATATACAGCTGCACTACTTCAGCTGGCATCAATTCTGCAGCTTGCTATGTGACAGATTTCCTGAAGCAAACTGGTATGATTCAATGGACCACTTCCAACATCTAAAGCAAATCAACAGTACGGATAATTACATTGATCAGTTTGAGACTTGGATGCAACTAATGACGAGGGACAATCCCTATTTACCTGAATATTTCTTTGTGCTGAGATTTATCAGTGGCCAAAAGGATAATGTGAAACGTATGGTCAAATGTCATAAACCTAACACTGCTCGGTGCATACGAGTCCTCCAGGCAGCTAGAACAAACTCATTTGGCAGCAGTAAAAAGACATGTTCTTGCTGCCACTCAAAAGGGGGCCAGACCAAATCAATTTCAGCAAGGATCAAGGCAAGCACCTGCAAGAGATAACTGACCCAGGGCTCCAAATGACAAAGGTAGAGAACCAAAGAAGTGTTGATGTTGTCCTAAGAACTGGTTCTATGAGCACAAATGCAAGGGGCTGCAAAGAACATGAATGCACTCAAAATGCAAGGTCCTTCTGGTGATGAGCAAGAGGAACTGGAACAAGAACAACTTCCAGCACAAGAGCAAGAGCAACAACAAATATCCTGTGCCAGTGATAGAAGAGTTATTAGATTAACTACAAGGGGCAGGCCATTATATTAACCAAATTGGACCTCAGATCCTGGTACCATCTAATAAGAATGCATCCAGATGATGTCCACAAAACTGCATTCAGAACACATCTAGGGCATTATGAGTATCTTGTAATGCCTTTTGGGCTTACAAATGCACCAGCAACATTCCAAGCCATTATGAACAACATTTTCTCAAAGATACTCAAGGAACATGTACTGGTGTTCTTTGATGACATACGGCCATACGGGTCTACAGCAAAAGCATAAAACAGCGTGCAACTCATCCACACTAAGTTTTGGAAATATTTTGAGAAAGAACAAACTGGTTGTGAAGAAAATAAAGCGTGTTTTTGCACAACCTGTTGTTGAATATTTGGGACACGTCATTTCCTCTAAGGCGGTAGCTATTGATCCTTCAAAGATAGCTGCAATCATTGCTTGGAAACAACCAACAACCCTCAGTAAACTCAAGTTTCTTGGGGATGACTAGCTACTGCAAAAGGTTCATCAGAAATTACAGTTACATCCGCAAGCCTCTCCATGACATGCTCAAAAAAGAAGCTTTTCAGTAGGAGCAGAGCAAACTGCTGCATTTGGATTAGTGAAGACAACAACGACTACTGCACCTGTCTTGGCATTACCTGATTTTTCTCTGCCTTTCACACTACAAGTTGATGCAAGTGGTACTTCTATAGGAGTTGTTCTCATGCAAAAGGGACATCCTGCCTATGTCGGTAAGAGTTTAGGTCTAAATGCAACTGCACAGTCAACATATGAAAATAGGCCATTGCAATTTTGGAAGGGTCTCAAGTTCATGTTCAGTCAGAGATAACTAAAGGCAATACAACACAAACTCATGCTCAAGCTCTTAGGGTATGATTATGCTATTAAGTACAAAAAACGAGTAGAAAACAAGGTAGCTATCCAAGAAAGACCAAGAAAATGAAGTGATTGTTGTAATGAAATCTCAATGGTAATATCGGCTTGAGTGAAAGAAGTGGAACAATCATACAAAACTGACGACAAGTGCTTGAAATTACTACAGGAACTGGTTGTAGCTCCCTCAAGCAAACCAAAATATTCATCTGAAGTTGGTATCCTCAGATAAATAATTTATGTGGGCAACTCCAACAACCTCGGGAAACAAATCCTCACTTCTTCCCATTCTTCCATCATTGGAGGGTATTCTATTCTCGTAGAAGAGTGACATGTCACAGAATTAAGAAGCTCTTGTATTGGCATGGGTTAGAAGGAGAAATTGAGCAGTTCCTTGCTTAGTGTCCAAATTGTCAGGTTACTAGAGGAGAAACAATTAATTACCCTGGTTCGCTCAACCCACTCAGAATTCCTAGAGGCATGATCCCGAATATCCATGGATTTTATAGAGGGATTGCCTAATCCAAGGGCAAAGATTTCATTCTAGTGGTGGTTGGTCAACTGACAATGTATGCACACTTCCTGCCTTTGGTTCATGCATTCACTGTGCAAACTGTGGCAAAAACTTTTAATGGATAATATCCATAAGCTACATGGTCTGCCTCAGGTGATTGTATCTGATCAAGATAGGATGGATTTCTTCACATCTCTAAATGTAGAACTGAAATTGACCACCACTCATCGCCTAGAAACTGACGGACAGCCTGAACCTGAACGTGTAAATCAATGTCTCGAAAGCTACCTCGGTAGCATGACATTTCACGAACCCAAGTGTTGGTGTAATCTGCTGCCAGCAGCAGAATGGTGGCACAACACATCATACCACATATCTTTGAAAACTTCTCCCTTGAAGGCTCTGTATGGGTATCAGACACCTCAGATTGCTGAAATGGCAATTCCTTGCACTGTCAGTGACAAAGCCAGAGCCATGGATTTCGAGTCACTCGACTAGTCGCGACTAGTCGACGACTAGTCTATGAGTCGCAAAAATATGGTCGACTCAGCTTAGTGTCGACTCGCGAATCTGAGTCGCGACTAGTCACAACACAGGCTCGACTTCTTCCGAGTCGCTGCTCCAGAGCGACTCGCATGAGTCGCGACTCGAAAACCATGGCCAGAGCTGCACTAATTGACACAGGAGCTACAATGGCAAAACTGCAGGAAAATCGGGATCATGCTTAGGCCAGAATCAACAAATTCGCATACCTGAAGCAGACAGAACGTTCAACGTGGGAGAGATGGTATACCTTAAACTTCAAGCATACAGAATTACTGCATTTGGTCTCCGTTCCACCTTGACGGTGCAGTCCAAATACTACGGCCCCTTTCACATCCTTCAGAAAGTGGGTGAGATGTCTTATAAATTGCAACATCTGGAGAGCGCTCAAATCCACCAACTGTTTCATGTCAGTCATCTCAAGTAGCACTTGGGCCCCAATGCACTCCCAAACCCTCAACTGCCTATGATTAGCTCTTCCGGCTATCCTTCACAAAAATGCTGCAATGATGCAATGGCTTGTGCATACCTGAGAGGATGCGCATTCATTCAAAAGGTAATTCCTACATTTTAGCCTTGAAATCTAATCTCAGGAGGTGCAGTGTCAGGACCCAAATATCCTAGTCTGAACTTTTCAACAGTCAGTCTATTCTCCAGAAGAGTAACAAAGGAACGGGCAAACATTATGTTCCTCGGACGGTCCAGATCCCTCAAATGCAACAGCAGAGAACAATTCCGACAAATTACCTTTCCTGTTCAGTTTCATCTCGGCTTTGTAATAATTACACTCCAGTTTAAACTCTAAGTGAGCTACTATTGATTCACCGCACGAGTAGTATATACACTCGGAGCTGGATATGAGAGGGATAAACAGAAAAACCCTAAATTACTTGCCTTCACATTTCCGCAACTAGAACTCTAGCGCAGCTATCTCTCTTGATCGATTTTCCTCTCTTCTTCCGTCAGGATTTTCCCAAAATTCCCCTACCTATCCACTTCGATCCTGAGAACTATCCACGACCTCAGAACAAAACGGAACCCACTACACGGCCCGTGCTCGAGACCACGGCACCACGCTAAAGTCAGTGCCCGCGTTGGTTGACGGCGAGGCCGGGGAGGGGTTCGGAAAGGCCGGAGCTTACAGAGATCTTGTGGAGCGGGACGACGGACTTGAAGTAGACGTAGTCCCCGGGGGCCGCCGCGCCGCCGCCTAGTCCCGTCATCTCCCTCTCTCACAGCCTCCGACCAGAGCGGCAGCGATACCGGGGACGGCAAATCGGAGAGGCAGAGGGGAAGAGCAAATCGCATCCAGTGGGCTGGCTTTACGAGTATTCCAGTGGGGCCTACGCACGTGCGGAGACCACATCAGACTGTTCCCTCTCTTTGAGGAGCCATGAATTTTTATTTCCTAAAATCTAAAAAGTGTGTACACACTATATGAGAAGAATGAGCGGCTCGCTCCTGACTGCTGGATCTCACCCGTATCATCACACGTGTGTGGCGCTCTACGCGACAAGACCCACTGCGGCCCGAACGACCAACCCACTCCCGATTATCCCCCAACCTAGCTAGCCGCCACTCCCTTACCCTTCTTGCGTGTGTGCGACCATGGCAGTCGCGGGCGCACCCTCTGCCTAGCCGTTCCTGCCGCTGGTACTCCGCATCTTCCGCTGCTGTAGATCACCCCACAGGTCACCCCGGTCAAGGTCGGTCACACTGCCGCCCCTAGTCGAATGACCCGCCACCCCAAGTCGACCAGAACATCGCGGCGCGTAATAGGCTGTTGTGCTGGTGCATCAGTGTGACGCCCTCGATTCAATCGTACACTAAACATACACGCAAACGTGTTCGATCAAGATCAGGAACTCACGGGAAGATATCACAACACAACTCTGGACATAAATTAGAGTCATACAAACTCATATTACAAGCCAATGGGCTCGAATATATAAGCTCGAAACAAACGAGTCAGCGAAAGCAACAATATATGAGTACAGACATAAGTTAAACAAGTTTGCCTTAAAAAGGCTAGCACAAAAATAGCATCGACCGAAAAGGCAAGGCCTCCTGCCTGGGAGCCCCCTAACTACTCATGGTCGTCAACGGTCTCCGCGTAGTAGTAGGCACTCTCAGGGTAGTAGTAGTCAGCGGCGGCGGTAGCATCTGGCTCCTGGGGTCCGTCATCTGATCGCAACAATCGGGTATAGGGAAAAAGAGGTAGCAAAGCAACCGTGAGTACTCATCCAAAGTACTCACAAAACTTACATCAGATCTAAACTAAGTATGCATTTGTATCAAATGAATGGATTGTATCTGTGGACTCAACTGTAGAATGCCAGAAGAGAAAGGGAAAAGCCTAGCCTATCGAAGACTAACATCTTCAAGCATCTTGCAACATCAGAAGAGATAGTTGTAAGTGTGTTCTAACATCGCCCAGAGATCACTTCTTTGACTCCCTGCGACAAAGTAATACCGGAGCCATCAATTCCATTTCATGCCTCAGCATCCAGTTCTAGTTGTATTGATCGGGATACAACTCCGAGCGTCTGTTACCGTGGGCATGGCTATTCAAACAGATAATACTTCCCTGTAGGAGTGCACAAACTTACCCAACACACTCGATCAACTCCGGCCGGACACACCATCAGGTCATGACTGGCCTCGGCCGATCAACACACCGCAGCCCTACCTAGGCTCAACAGAGAGACCAGCACGCCAGTCTACATCCTAAGCGCAGGGGGCTTGGGCCCATCGCCCTTTTGCACTCCTGCACGTTGTGTGGATGGGCGGGATCAGTCCTGGCAATGTCCTTATACAAGGCGGGTGCTTACGCGGGCCACCCGGGCGCGTATCGTTCAGTCGCTGACGTCCGAAGAGCTTTCGGCTGGTACATATGATGCGGAGTGCCCATACTTATTCATGTGTGGTGGTCAGTGCGAAAAGGCCAGAGGCCTACTCGGATCACATATCCAAATTGTTAATGTCTTGGGAGCGCACGGTAATGATCAATGATCCATGATATGTGGTCCCGTCGCCCCGTCTCACGGACTTACAACAAGGGCTAAGAATGCCCGGCCATGCCGCGTAGAAAACTTGTGGATACCCTCTAGGTCAACCCAACTTCACACCACTCGTCACATTTCTCTCGCAGGTACCCCGCGAGGCTGACCTGACTCCATCATGGTTCTGTGGTAAAGTCATAGTAACCGTGTGTCCAAAACAGCAAGGGGGGACCCGAGGAATCACCCTCGATGAATTCCCGCTCGATGTAACCGTCGAGATGAACTTGGAGGAATCACCCTCGATGGTTCACACTTGAGGGGCTACACGACAAAGTCATATCGGGAGTGGTGAAGGAGGAATCATCCTCGAAGACCACGACTGATTAGCTACACTACAAAGATCTCATCAGTAGTGCTATACGAGGCAGAACCCTCAGCACTCGATAGTAGCTCTGCCGAGTTGTACAACTAAGGGGGTATGATGTGATGTGTCGGACTCTGGACGTGGATCATGTTGATCGAGTCATCGGTCATCGAGCGGGGGCGACTGGGACAGGGTGAGGGGTCACTGGTGGATCACTAACCAACCTATACTAAGCAGTTTAGGATAAATAGGTAAGGTAACAATTGCAAGTTACAAAATCAGGCTATGCATCAGAATAGGGTCATACAAAAGCAGTAGTAGTTCTAATGCAAGCATGAGAGGGAAAGAAATGGGCTATATCAGAATGATAAAGAGGGTTTGCTTTCCTGATTGCTCAGTAGATGGAAGGAATCTTCGGAAGCGTAGTTGTCGGTGTCAAAACCGACGGATCTCGGGTAGGGGGTCCCGAACTGTGCGTTTAGGCGGATGGTAACAGGAGACGAGGCACACAATGTTTTACCCAGGTTCAGGCCCTCTTGATGGAGGTAAAACCCTACGTCCTACTTGATTAATATTGATAATATGGGTAGTACAAGAGTATATCTACCACAAGATCAGAGAGGCTAAACCTTAGAAGCTAGCCTATGGTATGATTGTTCTTCGTCCTACGGACTAAAACCCTCCGGTTTATATAGACATCGGAGAGGGCTAGGGTTACACAGAGTCGGTTACAATGGTAGGAGATCTACATATCCGTATCGCCAAGCTTGCCTTCCACGCCAAGGAAAGTCCCTTCCGGACAAGGGACGCAGTCTTCAATCTTGTATCTTCATGGTCCAGGAGTCCAGCCGAAGGTATAGTCCGGCTATCCGGACACCCCCTAATCCAGCACTCCCTCAGTAGCCCCTGAACCAGGCTTCAATGACGACGAGTCCGGCGCGCAGATTGTCTTCGGCATTGCAAGGCGGGTTCCTCCTCCAAGTACTTCATAGAAGATTTTGAACACAAAGGTAGTGTCCGGCTCTGCAAAATAAGTTTCCACATATTGCCATAGAGAGAATAATATTTACACAAATCTAATCTGCTGACGTATTCCGTAGCGTGACATCACACCACGGCCAAGTCTTTATTCGAATCGTTTTACTGTCCCACCTCAGCGCGTTTAGCGAGGCGGTTTCCTTGGCACGTCTTGTCAAAGCAGAGATCGTGTCCCCTTATTCCGGGATTCTCATCAACACGGGCGTGGGTAACCCAATCGCGCTATTGATTACGGTGCTTGGGAGATAAGCGAGTTTTACCAGGCTGGTGGGGACGCATAGTCGCGTCCACCCATATAAGGGGATAAGGATCCACCTTTTCATCCACGCCTTCTTCCTCCTTTGCCTATCCATTTCCGCGCACTCGAGCTCCAGCGCCCAAGTCCGCACACCCCACCTCAACCTTCTCCAGCCATGTCCGGAGCGGGAGGCAAGTGGATGGTCTCCTCCGTTACGGAGGGACACATCAAAAAAACTGAGGAAGGCCGGATACTTGTCTAACGACATTGCGCACTGGCTTCCCGAAGAGGGGCAGATCGTCCCCACCCCTAGGCCCCATATATAACGCCCTCGATGCGGCTATATCTCCCACGTGTCGAAGCACGACTTAGAGGCATAACCGCATTGAAAGCAATGTTGCAAGCACTTCACACAATTACATGAATAAAGCATTACATCATCTAGATACAATCAAGGTCTGACTACGGAACCCAAAATAAAAGAAGAACCCAAATGTGACACGGTCCCCGATTGACCCCAACTGGGCTCCACTACTGATCAACTAGAACGAAACAACACAAAGGATAAGATCTTCAACGAGCTCCTCCTGAGCTTGGTTGCATCATCTGCACGGACTCATCGGCACCTGCAAGCTGGTTATGGAAGTATCTGTGAGTCACGGGGACTCAGCAATCTCGCACCCTCGCGATCAAGACTATTTAAGCTTATGGGTAAGGTAAAGGTATGAGGTGGAGCTGCAGCAAGCGACTAGCATATATGGTGGCTAACATACGCAAATGAGAGCGAGAAGAGAAGGCAAAGCACGTTCAAGGAAGTATGATCAAGAAGTGATCCTAAACAACCTACGTCAAACATAACTCCAACACCGTGTTCACTTCCCGGACTCCGCCGGAAAGAGACCATCACGGTAACACACGCTGTTGATTCATTTTAATTAAGGTCAACTTCAGGTTTTCTACAACCGGATGTTAACAAATTCCCATCTGCCCATAACCGCGGGCATGGCTTTCGAAAGTTCAAATCCCTGCAGGGGTGTCCCAACTTAGCCCATCACAAGCTCTCACGGTCAACGAAGGAATAGACCTCCTCCCGAGACATTCCGATCAGACTCGGTATCCCGGTTCTACAAGACATTTCGACAGGGTAAAACTAAACCAGCAACACCGCCCGAATGTGCCGACAAATCCCGATAGGAGCTGCACATATCTCTTTCTCAGGGCACACCGGATTGTCTAAACTTCTGGTAGGCCAGCCCAGAGTTTCCCCTGGTGGCCACCAGCGGCTGACAAGTTGGACCAACACTCAGAGGAGCACTGGCCCGGGGGTTTAAAATAATGATGACCCTTGGGCGAGCGACCCCCAAGGGAAAGCTACAATGTTAATCTTTTGATGATGCGTCGCAAGAGCACAGCAAGAGTCGTTACGAGATTGATTTTTGATCTATCTTGTGCTGATTTTGTTACTTTGGTTTCTTGCATCTCGCTCGATCCATAGTATTTGTTCGGCTACATCTTCATCTACTTTGCTGCGTCTTCGTTTCGTCAAGTACCGTGAAAGATTGAGACCTTTACATGCGCAAA